AAAACGTTTTCCGTGTTTGCATAGCCTGATATAAACACGAGAGGGGTTGGGAGAATTCGAGACAGTTATGCAAACCCGAGACGAAGTCGAGGGTTTGCATAACCGTCGAGAATTCTCCCAACGCCTCGAGTGTTTATATCAGGCTATGCAAACACAGGAAAAAAGTTTTCTATTGCTTTTATAAAATAACTTTCCCTAGAAAAAAACGCAAAACTCTTTGTATGGCACTGATTAAAAGAGAAATTCTTACCAGTCGCAAAATCTTGTCCACGAAGTCTTGCACGCGTAATGAGTTCTTGTTTTGCAAAAAGATGCTTTGCAAAATACGGAGTTTTCTCGCTTACAATGTCAGCTTAAGCGAAGAAAAATTGACTCACCTTCTTTGTAACGATTTCCCATGTTTCAGCCGACGAAGGAATGGGTAAATAAAGTAAACTTGTCGAGTTTTGAACTCGAAAACTTTTTCAAATTTGATGCTTGCGTGATTAGCGCGCGAAAAGCCAAACAACTTGACGCCACAACCATGTTTACATACTCTCATGCAAACACTGCTCTCGGCCAATCAGAGCGCGCGTACTATCTTAGTTATTTTATAAATGAATATATCTCGTTCTTTAATCCATGACCCGAAACAAGCGCGCTAAACACGAATATATCTCGTTCTTTAAACCATGACCCGAAACAAGTGCCCTGGTTTCGGCTCATGGCTGCAAGATACAACTTATCACACACAATGCCCTCGATCAAAAGCTATGTTTCTTCCACTCTGATTACTATCACTGCGTTCATGGCTGGAACTGCAACTACACTGAAAACTGCAACACAAGAAATGCCACTCAACATCTATTCAATCTTCGTTGGCCCTCCAACAACTGGAAAATCACAAGCAATCAAGGAATGCGCTATATCACCCATGGCCAGTGTAACGGCAGAAGCAGATTCTGCAAGCCCTGTAATCCAGAAATGTACCTCGTCGGGACTGATAAAAACAGTCGCGGACAACAACAGAGGGTTCCTTTTGTCAGCCGAGATTTACGACGTCCTGTTCAAATTGCTAAAGTCTGACGAAGAAAATGCCACTGGCGATGTACAAGCGCTATGCCAACTGTTCTCTGGAGAAGAGGCCTCCTACCGGTATGCCACTGAAAAAACGCGGGAAATAGCAGCAAACACGCCTTTCTGCATCTTAGGGGCAACACAGATTCCATTTGCCGCCCGTCTAGTCGCCCTATTAGATCAAGGACACGGTCTTTTAGACCGATTTTTAATTCATTACATTTATGTAATCATTTGGATGACTTAATTTGAGCATTTCCACTTTCTTTATAATCCTGGAGTGCCTATATCTTGTCTCTCAGGAAGCGTTTTTTGGTGACTAATTAACCATGTAGAATAAACAAGCTGCATACACGAAGGAGATTCTTAAACTGCAAACTCAACTTTCCTTTTCCCAGGATTTCGCGGAATTGCCCATTTCGAAACATAGAAGCTCCCACAGCCACTTGAAAAGTTTTATTTTCTCTCCACTTTCAAATCTGAATTTGGTGTATGTGTTTTCCGGCATGAATGTAAACAACGTTTTGAAAAGGTTGCCGAAATTTCAGAAATTTGCATAGCCATTAATGCATCAGGTTCCCGTGATGTCGTTACACCTTTGTTATTTTGATAAACAACTTTTTAAAGATTGCTCTATATTGCCGCGTCATCATACTCTGCAGATAAATAAATGAAGACATCAGTTGGCTGGTAGTATTTTTCAAAAATAGCACACGACGATAATAAATTTCGCATCACGATCGCGATTTTCTCTATTCCTATCATGATTGTTGTAACGCGATTTCTTCTCACAATCTTGATTGTTGTATCGCGAATCTAGTTATCGAGATTTCTCTATCCCGATAGCGATCGCTGTATCGCGATGTTTCTATCGTGACCGTGCTTGTTGTATTGTAATGTCTCTATCCCGATCGCGATTGTTGCATCGCGAATTCTGTACCACGATCGTGATTGTTGTTTCGCGGTCTTTCAATCACTGTCGTTGTATCGCGATTCCTCCATCACGATCACGATCGCTGTATCACTATTTCTATATTACGATTGTAATTATTGTATCGAAATTTCTCTCCCCTGATTTGGCCTCGCTTTTAAACATATGAGATCCTTCAAAACAAGTTAGGTAAAACTACGAGTTTTATGGATTCACGAAATTGAATCCTGATTATCCTTGGAAGCTGCGCCTTTGTCATCTACAAAAAAGAAAACATTCAATAACCTGATTGCTTTGAAGGAGTGATAACAGGACTCTTGTTCCGCAAATGTAACTCCCAGAAGCTAGGTGACAAACAACTTGGTGATCTCCAACTTTTTTTTCTTTTCTCCCTTGTTTTAGGTTTTGAGCGCCACTCATCATGAATACCATTGTGTTCAAAGCATCTTTCCTCCTGGTTCTCTTATCTCTCTTGCAATCCGTTTTCGCCCAGGATCCTATCAGCTCGTGCGATGGAATCTCGAACGGGACCCGCTCTCAAATCTGTCTGTCGGGACAGTGCCCACTACGATGCTACACAAATTTGTCAGACGATCCGAACTGCGATCAAGTGTGTGTGCTGAAGCCATGTGCTGCGCTAAGCTGCAAATCGACCAATTGCCTGCAGCGCTGTTTATCAGGGGGTGTAAATCGCTGGTGTGTACAGGCGCTGATTGCACGCAAACCTGCTTGGAAAACTGTTCTGAAATAAACTGCACAGTGACGGCAAAGTGCAACCAGCAGTGCGAGAAGGGGCACTGCGGCTTACGTGGCATGGGTTATGGTGTGGTGGAGCAGACCTGCGCTGAGAACTGCAAAGATGTGAAATGTAAGGCTGACAGGTGCAGACAAACCTGTGCAGGAGACGGTTGCAGTTTGGAGTGTCCTATGGGTAAGTGAAGTAATATTCTAGTCCTCGGAATAACCACAGGCAGATCTTAGGTGGGGGTGTCCTTTTGATATCGGTGAAACCCTCGCTTATTCTTCGACCTAACCAGGAGCTACGTTAATGTGCCACTGCCCTAATCCTAATTCTGACCTTGTATCTGAGGTGATCCCCTCCCCGCCGCCCCCTCACCCAATCGAATTCCTCGACCGAACGGGAATGAAATGTTGAAATAAAACCGTAATGATCACATATATCTGTTACAGGTTCTAGAGAGTGCACACAAGATTGCAAAGGTCCTTGCAACATGAAATGCGAAGCTTCCGAGTGCGAAAGCACATGTACCGGTGGTAGATGCAACTTAGAATGTAGCAACAGCGAATCAAACCTCTGCGAACAAACCTGTGCTCGTGGCGCCTGCGAAGTCAAGTGCACAGCGAAGAAATGTGAAAGCTCATGCACGGGAGGTCATTGCACCCCGTTCACCTGTACCGCTGATAATTGTACCCAGATTTGCGGTCAAAACTGTACCTACATGAGGTGCCAATCAAAGCAGTGTGACCAGTCGTGCACCAAAGGGAATTGTGATATGTACTGTGAGACCGGAGCAGAGATGTGTGTGATGTCATGTCCCGGAGGAAACTGTAAACTGCACTGCGACGGACAGAAGTGTAAACGCGACTGCTCTGGAGGTGGATGCTCGTATTCTGGATCGGGCGAAGAAGTTAGCACCAGTACCCCATCGCTAAACAGGCCAAACAGGCCAAACAGGCCAAACAGGCCAAACAGGCCAAAACCACCCAAGGCTGGCGCGCCGAGGGTCGTGTCCTTGCATTTTACGTTATTTCTGCCTGCGATAGTATATCTCATTTCCTGTAAACTAATAATTTAAGCAAACAGTTGGCATTGTTATTCTTCACAGTGTTAAACTATAAAGACGAATTTAGACTGTCAGCTTTAAATAGAACTGACAAGAGATGGCGCAATTTGTAAATTAAAGTAGTACATCGAAAGGCCACCAATTATATCTATGCATGGTGGTACATGGCTAGCAAATCTGTCACGCAAACCATTATGGCACACGGACAGTAAGGGTATAATAAGAAGTAAGGATCACGAAAAAGGTTACTGCGCACTGTTTAATGTCATTGCCTTTATCCAGTAGAGTAAATGATAAAGAAACAAACACCTGTCTCCAGAACTCTTCCTTGTAAGATAAAAGTCTTGGGAACGACGTTGATAAGGAAGTTTGTTGCCGTTACAAAGTGGTTTCTCATGCTTCAGTCTTCAGCTTCTGGGAGGTACCAACCCTCCCCCTTCCCCTAAAGTAAGCTATCTAGGTACGTTCAGCACCAAAGGGTGTGTTTTTTTTTTTATCCCTGCTGGTTTGAAATTGGGTACTATATACTTTAACCATTTTGGATGAAAAACAGTGTAAGGTTATTGTGATCACTGGAAACAGGGTCTGAAATTAGTTATGTGTTTCTCCTTTGTAGTTTTGTACTTTTCAGAACAAATTTTCAGGTCTCAAATAAGAAGGGCATTTTACTGACACTGACATATTTTGTCCTGAAGTGGGGTCAGGGTTTAGAAGACAAGCCGCATACTCCTCTTTCTGTCCCTCACATTCTTCCAGGAGTATCCCCGGGTTTCAGCTTCGACACGTAGTGTGAGTTTTTATGAATATCTTAAAAAATTCTTCGTGGATGTCTTTTTGTTTTGGTTAGCATGTTCCAGGCGTTCAGATAGCCATGGAGTGCGGCGAGAAGTCAGGCAGTGGAAAAAATCCCTATCACCACCCCCTCGCTGCCTTTCTTTGTCACATCTCTTTGCCCCTTCTCTACAATCTGAACACTTGTAACAGGCTTTGTTTTGGTCAATAGATGTATTTAATAATTTGTAACCGACGTTAACCTTACCTTCCCAGGGGAGTAGCCAGCCCATAGACCTGTTGGCATGGGCCTACAGATGTTTGGTTTGATCACGCTACCGCTTGTAACAAAATAAAACTAGGCGTTGTTGGGGTGAGCTAAAAAGCTTAACAGCTCAAAGTGTTGGTGAGGTCAGCACGTACAAGTCATGCGTGCAATTTTCAGGATGTGTGGAAATGAAAGTCCGCCAGGCCTACAACTAGTCGAAAAGCTGGCTACCCCCCAGCTTCGCATCCGCTGATGGAATGAATAGAGCGTTTTCACTCACATGACCAGCATCTATGCAAACTAATGGCAACAAAAGAACGTGTTTACATAAGAAAAGAGATCAACTCCCACAGGATTGGTTTGGAACACCAACATGGCCGCCGTGACGTCATGTGAAAACGCTCTATAGGCCATTTGCACGATGACATCATTTTACTACTGCGACCAGAATCCTTCAGGGTTTTGCTTTCTTGTGCAAATTAGGGCTTTAATTATTTAAACCTCACTGGGATTACACGATTTAAATATCAAAGGCAAAACGAAAAGGATTCTGGTCGTAGTAGTAAAATGACGCCATCGTGCAAATGACCTGTGCCAGAAATAGTATGGAGTTAATGACGTTTTTCTTTTCTTTTTTTTTTTCTTTCCTTTTTTTTTTTTTTTGGAATCATGAAGTTGTTTCTTTGTTCTTATTACTTTTTCCTGAAATAGTTTTGGTTTTTTGTCTTTTTTTTTTTTTTTTTTTTTCTTTTCTTTTTTTTTTTTTTTGGAAACAAAAGTTGTAATGTTTTTAATATTGAAACCAGACAGTTTCCCTTTCAAAAATTCTTTTTCCCTTCCGTCTAACATAAAACGTGCCTGAAGTTTAAAATTTCCATCTATATATAGTCAGAACAAATTATTTTTGTTCAACTTCAGTGTTAGCTTTCCTTCTCATCTTGTTTCGTTTTCTGACCAGCCTTATTCTTTCTCAGTCTGACGTAATAAACCTGAAGTTTAAATTTCCCATTTAACTATATAGCTAAATAATAAAGTCATCGACTAAAATATCTATGCCAGTCCAACCTGTTGGCTTTCAGTTTTCATAGTTTTGTTTCATTTCCTAACCTTACCGTCATTCGCTGTTATTTTCAAAGATTTCTAGTTTCGAACAATTAACCCTCTCCTTGAGTTTATAATACTTTTAGGCGAACAAAAATGGTAACGCTAATAAAAGTCCTACATTTATCATTCTCTCTTGTACGCAATTATGACGTCTAAGAAAATATGAGAACTTATCACTAATTCATTGGCACTTTTCATAAGCTGTGGCGACTAGCTTTGTGTATTCTCCCTGTTTTGTACCAGTGCTTACTCCCCCGTAGTTCCATCCAGTTTTCAACACTTAATAGCCTGCTCAGCCGGCGGATTACGTTTTTGCGCGTGTGAGAGTTAAAGCCGCGAAAAGCGAGCACCATCTCAGAGCGTCCCCTAGTCCCCATTCTTCGCACGGTTTCGCAGCTTCTCTGCCAAAACTTTGCTCGCGCTAAGGATCCCGCGGCTACGCGGGCTAAACACTTAAAATGGAGTGAGCTCTCATGCCGGTCACCTATGAGTGACATGTTCTTGCGTGCAATCCCGTACAAGAGAACGACCATTTCTGAATACTTTACTAAGCAGAAGCGGGCGCCTTAATTTAAAGAAGCACGATTTTTTACGCTTAGCTTTGTTTTCTATCTTCTACAATTGGACATTACAAAGAAAACACTTATCCACTAGAACTCCACATGCAGTTTTCGACATGTGTTGTGTACTGTACGCGACAAAAGGTAAAGGAACAAACAAACATTTACAAAGCATAAAGTGAGGCGTGCAAGCTCCAGTAAGCAATGATCAAGTCTTGTGTGGTCGCTTATATTAGTCATTCTTGTAAGTGCCCGCTTGGCCAGCTCTAGTTTGCGGACGCTTTTTGTTTCCCGTTGGACTGTTTATTTACGAAAGCTTCGATGGTGTGAACATTTCCGATGGTGTGCGTTTAAGGAAAATATTTCTATTTTTCACGTCATTTATAAAACTGTTCCCTTTGAAAGCTTCAATTGTGTAGCTGTATTAGTAGAAATACCAGCACGATTTTTCTCACCATATACCCATATTTTTAAGAATAAGTGACAGCTTCGATATTTTACCACAAATTTCCTACTGCAAAGAGATAATGATAAAATAGATATATAAACAAAAAAAACATATGTATTATCACATCCTCGGCAGTACGTCATATGGGTTTGGAATTAATCGCATATTTCTCTTTTCGTGTCAAATAAGACGCTTTTCAGCACAAAACGATATTCGTCTGTTATGTTAAATCGTTTCTTTACAACTTAACAAACGATGTTAAGAGCAGTTTTTTTGATATGTCTTCATAAATTTCTCTTTTCCATTACGCATAAATTGAGGACCCTTTTCATCTGTCCAATTTTGACAAATTTAAATTTATCGATGTGCGTCATAAGCTCGTAATGCAAAAATTAATCGCAAAGGGGCTTTTCTAGTATTATTTATCGTCGCTATTTGACCGTTCGTTTTCGATCATTATCAGTTTACTAGAAGGATTTAACTCAACCAGCATCTCAAAAATCGAGATATTTGAAAATCGAAGTCTTTTATTTTGGTGAGTAAAATCCTTTTATTATTTTTATGGCGCATTATGCATTATCTTCGGTGCGGATTCTCTTTATCTTTATTCTATTATTTGCCGGGAAAAGCTATTTTTTTACATTAGCCCCCACATAGTGCTTTTTTTCTCGGAAAATATCGTAAATAGCCCATTGTTGTGGCACGTTAGTGTTTGGAGATGAAAGAAACTAAATTGGGTTGATTTGCTTTGCTCTTTCAAGGTTGATGGCGCGGTTTTAGGTCAGCGAAATGTAGACAAGCGAGTGCGCGACCGTATCGCTGCAATCACCGCAATTGCGACCAAACATCAGAAAGACCTAGCTGCAGTTTTTAGTCCCAATGGTACAAACGAACGAAAGTGTTTTCCATCATTTATATTTCAAAGCATAAAGCATATGCATGTCGATGAATGCAGGTCAGAGAACATAATAAATCTGAATTTTCATCGGCGTTTGAGGTACACACATACACTGCAAAAAATCCTTGAGTTAATACACTCACAGTCTTGAATGTGAAAGCCAGCGACGAGTGATCATCGTCGCGGTTTTCCCTAAAATTATAAATCTCACTAAAGTTTACGCAACACCACCCAGTTTTACGCTACATTTCGACACCGTGTTATCAATTTTACACTGTTAAATATTTATCAAACGTCAGAAATCAATTTCCCCATCGAGGGCAAAACTCCAATTTGTTTTTATCGTTTTCATTCGGCATACCAACCGCGTCTTATAAGCTTTAGCAATACACTGATAAATTAGAGTTTAGGGAAAATTTAGGGGAAAAATACGATTAAAATTCCATTTTATATACATAACGATGTCGTTTCTTTTGGTGCAAATGTCGAAATATTAGATTTTTAAAAAGGCGAATACTAGAAAGAAGTAAATTGATATGTTAAAATATTTAAAAACGAACTTTTATCAGCTGGCATTAAAAAAGGTTGACTGGGTGAATTAGCAGGACAATGGAGAAGATATCATAAATTTGCAGGCAGGTGGCCTAGCTAGTTTTTTTAGGAAAAGACTCGAGACAAGACTCAAAATTTCGGCATTCTGTATAAAATTGTGAGAAACGAAAAGTACCATGTTGAAACTCTGCTCTAGAGGTTTCATTTAAATGGTCACATCGTAGGATTTCATCCACAGACTCAAAAGTTAGGACTACGCATGCGCACAAGGTGAAACATTATCATGAGCATTAGTGCAGTTAAGAGGTTTCATGTTTGATTTTGTCAACACTAAAAAGTAGGCTGAATAATATGACGATGACGTTTTCACAATTCCCTTCGACGTTTTCTATTGTCCTCTTCCTGATTCTCAGATTCGCCATTTTCCTCGGCCGGATTCCCAGGGGAAGCTAATCATGACGAAATATTCAGGGGCAAATTCGTTTCATGCAGAGTTTACAAGAAGAATGGCGGAGCTGGAGCTCGGGGCCGGGAGCTAAAGGCTCGGTGTTCGGGGTTTGAGGGCTCGGCGCTGGGCTCCGAGTTCGCGCCGACCCTGTACATGTCTTCAGAAGATTTGGATCGTGGTTCGGGAATAGGGCTCGAATCGGAGCTGAATCTCCGAGAATGTTTCGCGTCGTCCCTGTTTTCTGAAGTCTTAATTAAAAACAGGCTTTCCTTCATAGTGAATTAAGCCTATGAATATTATGTCATGGTCATGACCAAACAGGAGTGTAAAGGCCATCGCCAGAGAATTGCCAGAACGTCTTTACCATATCGTCTTCCCACCGTTTTGCATAATCAAACGAATATTTGTTTGAATCTATGACAAGCAGCATGTCAGGAAACCTTGTTTAATTAGAATAAAGCAAATTGTATATGCTAATGACGATCACGCGACATCATATTTCGCCAAATATTGCAAAAACGGCTATACATATAGAACAAAAAGACTTTCTATGGTGAACCCCAAATTGATACGCAATAAACCATCAATCAATCAACTTGTTTCCACATTTAAGTCACGTGCATTTTTGTTATCAACATACTGTCTCCTAACAAATTGTTGTCTTCAAGTTCAACCGGAAAAAATGATTTTCGCTTGACCTTGAAACGAATACGCACAAATAAAACCAGAAGAACAAACAAACAAGAATCTATGAATTTGATTGACTTATACATAAGTGTATCTAGGAGCCCAGTTTATAAAGACGACTTGCAAAACCTGAATAATTTACAAAAGATGCTTACAAGCCGTGAAGCGCTAGATATAGCTTTCTCGTTTACCGCACTTGCCACGAAAGTGATTTTACAAATAAAACGTACGTCATTGTAATTTCTACTACAGTTGATGATCAGCATTGATAAAAACTACGTCATTGAAACATTAAACGGCCCGTGAACGCTGGAACGTGCACATTTGTATGTCCTGTTTCCCTGCTTGCAATAAATCATTTTGTTGGCACTTCAAATCTTTCATAGAGAAGCTTCTCTTGGTAAAATTGAAGCAGGTGCATGTTCGAGCCAAGATGACGTCAACAAACCCGCAATTATCCGGTCGCCCAGGACAAAACGTGTTTCAGGTTTCAGACCATTTCAGTCCACAAACGTGCTTCAGACATTAATAAAGTAAGCATTTGGTCACCTAGCTGACGCAAATATAATGTAAAAAGAACTGACTACAGCAAGAAAACTTTAAGACTTCTCTCATGCCGGCTTCGCTGCCTTAAATATATCGCCATTTCAATTGTTAATGCTCTTCATGTTTACAAAAAAAAAACACTTCATAACGCATTGGACAATATGAATTACATGCGTCAAAGCTCTTCGAATTCATGAGTTTAAACAATACGTAGTAATCATAACAACAACAAAAAATCCTTACTCATGGCAGTGCGCTGAAAAGGAGCCTCAGGACTTCTACGGAACAAATGCTGTAGCTGCATAAAGGCAAGTCATTAAAAAAAAAGCTAAATTTAAAATCAATTTGATGTTACCTGCATAAAACCTTAATTATTATTTTCATGTTTGGATAACAAGGTCTGTTACAGAGGTTTCTTTTATCAAATGCTTACACTTTTCCATGCCAACTGAATCATGACGATACTCTGGTCGTTGAAGAGCTTACTATACTTAGAAGTAGATACAGCTATTAAGCTTATATAGAAATTATAATCACTACTACCCAGGGAAGTGCATTCATACACACTGGCGACCGATACAGTTTGTTCCAGAATCGGATGGCCTTGGATGCCAATGCTCAACCACAGCTAGTAACATGAGCTGCACAAAATGCAGAAAAATACTAAATTTCAGTTCGTCAAATATTGAACAGTCAAACTCCGTAAATAAGGACACTGAGGGGGGCCATTGAAAGTAACCGTCTTAACGGGGTTTCCGTATATTAAGGGGGTTGAATTTAGAAAAAATATAAGGGCTTTCTTTCCCCAGGGACAAAGCCAACTGTCCGTATTTAAGCGGGTGTTCGTAAAGCGGTTTTTGACTGAATGCGGAGGTGCTACTAAACAGAGGTCTTATTTGAATAGCTACACCACAGAATCTTATCCCCAGGCTAAAAAGGAGTACTACGTACATTTTGACTCATGTAGCAGGAAAGATTTAACGATGCAGTATGCATTGAAGGCATAGGTGTTTGCGAACTGGACTATGTAGTAACGACCTGAGACTTGTTGGGGTAGGTGATCTTATATAGATCCTGGACGGTAAATGAAGTTACAATACTGCGCGTACTATCTACAAAGAGTGTTTACTTATTCTTTGGGAATTTGATCTTGGAAATCGTCTTGTATAAAGTATAAGTGAACATTCAGATTAGCACAATCGGAAGAGGCTGAATTCCTGCCCGTGGCCTCACTCAAAATTCCAAAATTAGTCAGGAAATATCACCTTCTTTTATAATATAAACACGTGAAGGAATTTTCTACAAATATTGGTTATTTTAAGCTCGGATAATTCGAAATGAGGCGGTTCTTGAAAGCGATGGGCAGCTCCCTCGCTCCGTCACGACGGTATGTGGCAAAACTTTAAACTTTTTTCAGGGGAAGAAGCAACGCTTAATGATGTCAAGAAAATAAGTGATCATGAAGGTAGTTTTACGGTCAGTTCATATACAGCTGTCTTTAAAATTAGAAGAATATATAGGAAAGGTCTCCACAGATACAAATGGTCGGCTAGAAGTATTTTCTACCCTATGAGTCCTGGGACCAACGGTAACTATCTTTGAGTTGAAGGAAACTTTTACATTAATTTACCAAAATTTTAAAAAAGGCCAGAAAAAAATGAATAAACTCATATGAAGCTAAATATGGATTGTTACCAAAAAAGAAGATTGGCATGGACTACAAAGTTGAAAAATTAAGACTTTTCAAGATGTAGAAACGGTGATAAAATAAAAGACAGTCCGCGTGAACGAAGGGAAAGCAGATTGCCTGTTTCTCTGAATCAGGATGAAAATACCGTAGCCTGAAATTGCAAGTTCAAAACGAACTTTCTTGTTTTGGTACGTAGCTCTTGCTGTTTCAGGTTAGACCAGCGGACTCACTGTCACAGGAATCCAAGATTTTGAAGGGCAGCTGAAGAATGATTGTAATTCTAGCCCGAGTTGTGCTTCGTACTTACTGAAAAAATATCCAATCGCTTACAAGCAAAACGCACCACGGGTCCGACATAAAATTTCGATGACAGCTCGAGCCATCATTAACCGTAACGAACAGCAAGTGTTAAATCAGGTTTTCTCGAGAATTAAACTGACAATTAATTTATTCGCTCTGACAAAGGGCTAGCACTCAAAAAACCACGAGCTTTTGATCTATTTTGGATTGGAAAAAAACTTTTATCAAAAAGATATGTTAGCTCTTGAGCAAAATATTTTAACGACAGCCGGAATCGATATACGAAAAACAACGTCAGCTACATGTAATATTGATGGTGAATTAACAGTTACAATTCACACTTTTAATGGGATATATATTTTGTTAGAATGTCTGATAATTTTATATAATTCGGGGAGTGTTTTTTAACCGTTTTCCACAATGGACTTGGCCAAGGTCTGTAAAATAACTATACTTCCCACCACCTGCCTGTTTAGAGTCTCTGGTTGAGAATCTCATCACCAACTAAAAATATGGGACAATATATTCTTTTCTTGTTTTCTTTTTTTATGTCGTGGGTGTATCTGAATCAATATAGACCCGCATGATTTGTCCCAACTTGTAGCCATGGTGTTAGTGGTTCAATTTTTTAGGTCATGTTTGTGAACGTGATTAAAAACAGGTACAACTTTAAGCTATATTTTCCGGTGATGTTATAAGCGGTTCTCGACTTTTCCGGCCGTTGTTTCTTTCGACATTTCTGAAAATTAATAGCAAAACTTGGCGCGGATAGGGAGGTCAATACAATCTTTAAAGAACTCTGACCTACGCCCCTTTTAGTGACGGTACAAATCGTCAAACATTTCAATGTGCTTTGTCATCATGACATTCACTAACCCAGTAAACAACTGAGCGGTTCTTCTTGTGAAGAGCTTTTTAAAAAAAACTTTCAACAACAAGAGTAGACACTAAGACTCTTCCTTTCACCCTGATTTTTATGCCCCTCGTTTAGTACTAGTAACCTTTGACAAGAAATGCTTTTCACTTTATCTGCTCCTGTCTATTGATGACTTTATTCTTGTCAGTCCCAAAAAGGTAGCGGCAAATATTCCAGGTCTCATTTTAAAAGGTGGAAATGTCGATATTCACTGAGTCAGTTCAGTTGATCTCTTAATTATCCATTAGATAGCGAGTTATTCATTGCGTAACGATATCTCCTGTGAGCTGTGACGTTCTGTGACGTCATCATCAGTCGCTTATTTTACTTCTCGATACTTCCGACTTCACTTAAATGTCAGTAATTTTCAACGTTTCGCCACTGCTCATAAAAACGTCGAGGTGAGCAGTGAAATATATACTAGATGCTTGCAACGCTAGATTTTCAAAGTGATTTCAGGATTTGTCTGTTAATTTACATACTAAGATCAACATTCAAAAATAACAGGAGAAATGAATCATGAAAATATTAAGCTATGTGATGCCTTCACTGGAGCCAAGAAGAGATAAAGAAAAATATCTTACGAGTGTTATGGAGCTAAGACAAGGTAGGGTGAAAATATGATACGATATTAAGTCACAGACGATCAATATATACAGCATTTTCTTCACAAATCTTCATTTTCTCCACAAATCTCGATACTCTCATTTGACTCAATGAGAAAGTGAAGTTAACAGTTGTGCAGTCATAAAGCTATTTTATGGACGTTTTCGAATGTTTGAGAGTATATGCTGTTCCAATTTTCTGGCCACTTTCTTGAAGAAGATTTATTTCCTTTGTTCAATCTAGAATATTTTAATTCGCTATCATCTCTTGTGAAGATACAGTAATATACAGAAAAATCTTTCTGTAAAAGAAAGATTTGGTGAAAAACAAAGGACAGATCCAGTAAATTGTCTGACGACTGTATTCATGATATAAGTACAAAATGCTTTAGTCTGGCTATTATGCTAACTGTTTTACCCCTTTTACAACCATTAAAGTGATTCTTCTCAAATCATTGTCTATTAGTACCCATTTTCAGCTAATTTTTGCATCAAAGAGGAATGAATTTGTTAGTGTAAAGTTTGAAATTTACTTGGCGGGTGAGCAGTGGTTGTCAGTTATCGATGTTCTAACATAACTGCGTCTAGCACGACAGGCCCTTACTTCATATTTTGTGCTGGCTTGTTATCATCTCCCTGTCTTCTGTGTAGTTACTGCCGGGCAGGAAGTACTAACACAAAATTTTTCATTGCAAATGCGTTAAAGGCACCTTAACTGATTTCGCTTACAGTTCTACACATTCGACAACAACATTCTTCCGTTATTCTCAGATTATTGATTAGAGACTAGTAATACTTCTGAAATAATCAATCCAAAGAGCTTCTGGGGTTGAGAAATTATTTAATATAATTGCAACTCCTTTTTGCGCGCTCTTGACCCGTACGAAGAGAATGGCTTCATTGTTGAGTTCGACACAGAAAATCTTGGGCTGTATAGCGACACACATTTCGTCATCATTTTCCACAGGACTGAAATAGAAAGACACGACGTTATCATTCCTTCCTACGGTCTCTGAACTGGAACATAGATTCTAATATCTTTTTGCGGCCGAGGATTATATAATCTCAAGTTAAGTGGCTTAATTGTATTTATTTTTGTCGCGTAATATTAGGCCTATCAAAGGCTTCACTCAGCAACTCAAGCGTGCAGGCCTATGGCCCCAGTTGCATGAAACTGCAGTTGCATAAATCAGTGAGTCGGAAATCGAGTTACCGTATATATTCGGCTAAGGGACGTGGCGTCTGAAAGAAATTACTGGTCAGGAATGATGAAAAAATCCTGAAGAAAATTTAAGTTAGCACCCTATTATTAATTAAGAGTTCCGGTCCACCTATCTAAGGTATAAAAACGGTTAAAGAAACGGTATTGCATTAAGAGTCCTGCGACGAGTCATGGTCTTTATTGCCAGTGTGGTTTCGGCCAAGTATAAAGACAAACCACACTGACATCAATGCTACATCATTGAAAGTGTTGCTCAAAATAGAACCGCAAAAAGCGAGCCCTATCCTTTGTAGGTAGGTGCAAAAAAAAATTGGCTACTTTGAATTCCAGAGCTGTCTACATTTCTTAGTTGGAAAAGCCTACCCTACAAGCGTTTTAAAGTATAGGCTGCAACACAGCCCGATCGTATACTCAAAATTCTATTTACAAGAGTTTTTAAAGGAGCAACGTTTAACATGCACAATATAGCCTATTAAAGTCATCGGAACTTTACATAAAAGGACTACTGTTCAGTCTTGCTGGTCAACTCAGTGGGAGACGTCCTTTGAGAGCGGGTACAACAATTTAGCAACCACGGTCACACGGGTCTGGCCATATCTTTTCATATCTCAAGGGCCCTTCTTAGTATTTTTGCACTTCCTATACACAACATTTCCATTCAAACCTTCAGAGATTGTTCCCAAATCTTCTACAACAATATTCTTATCGTTATTATTATTATATGATTATGATTATGATTATTATTATTATTTATTATCATTTTGAACATAGTTGACTTCAAATAGCTTGCTAAAATGATTGTCGCCGTGGTGAATTGTTTAAACACACGAAACACTGACGTATTTCCGGTTAAAGAAAGTAGCTGTGGCTATTGTTGTGGTAATTCGAGTTGGTCGTGAATGAATTTTTTTTTGCGTGTGGCGGTAAATCATGAATGCTTAACGCTCCATTTCGTTGCTCGGAGGTAGCATCTATCTTAACATAACCTGAAGAGATAATTCACCGGTGAGTCACGGAAATATTTTCGCTGTGTTTTATGGAGGAAAATTTGTATCCAAGGTAAGGTTTTCATCTCGAATATACGCTAAAGCGAAACACGACAGCAGGTGTATAGGTGAGCTGTTATCGCTGCCGTCTGTCACAAGTTTCAATTTCGTCGCAAAATAAAAAGCGTTTTGATTTTAGAAGAAGCATTTTTTGCTTCAGTTTGTATTTTTAGTATGATGGATGAAAAAATCACTTGAAATTTGAGAAATTTTTAAAGTGGCCGACCCGGCAAACTTTTCTAAGATGGACATCTGATATTTCAAAGGCTCTTAATAACCGCAGCTTCAACCGGAACAATTATTTCGAAGGGAAACTTTAATTTACATATGGCTGTTTCAAATCAATAAAAAAAGAAAGAAAAAGTAGAATGGTTAAAATTCACGCACCGCTCTTTGTTAGTCTGGATCTTTGCTTTTTTAATCCCAGTACTGATGGTTCCTTTACAGTTAAGCTCAAGGTTTCTCTTCTATCGTCGTTACAGAATGGATGATATGTTGCACATATAAATATATGTTAAGCATAAAAGCTTTTTTCTATTGTCTAAGAGCAACACCTTAAAAACGCATTTATTGTCTTGACTAAGCTATATAGAAGCCTGATTCTTTACATTTTTATTTATTATTATTTATTTTAGGAAATGACAGCGTAGGAGAATTTTTTAAGGTCAAAATGCAGAAAGAAGAGAAAGCGACGAGTTCTTCTCAAATAGACGTCGATGAGCGAGGAGAGTATTGCATAATAAAACCCGACTACCTCCCGAATGGGGTGAAAACAAAAAAGGACACTCAAACAGCACCACAAAGCACTTATTCACGGAGCGTTCAACAGGAAAAAGACAAAACCAAGGTTCCTTCGAAACTTAAAGTTCAACGGTCAATATCAAGCCCAGAACAGCTCGTGCGATCCCTCTATATGAATGACAAGCAGTCTGCTGCCCAAACCAATGGCACACAGCGGAGTAGCGGTCGTTTTGTGGTTGGACCGGCAAGGAGAAGCACGGGGCATGTTAAACTTGGGAGCCGGCGAAGCACGGGATCGCTTACTGGACGAGAACCACCGCCACCACTTCGATATTTTGCCTATCTCGGAAGGCTGCATCCAACTACTAAAGCCCCACAGCTACCTCGTGGCAGGCTCCCTTCCGCTCATGACATACTAGCGGATCGGCCTGTAATTCTAACCAGTACTTCCATTGTGTCGCCATACGCAACCAATGTTATCTGCCGAGAAATTGACGAATTGGAGGGGCAAGAACCACCAGCGGATTACAATGACTTACTGGACTGTTGCACCTGTATGTGCTTCGTGAAAGCGTTATTTTATCACTGCACGAAAGACACTAAAGATGAGGGTCAACTGGCCGACGACCCATGTTCATGCCAGGGGCCTGTGGGCCAGTGTGTGGGTCGATGGGGTATTATGGGGATTCTCTCTTTATTTCTTCCATGTATGCTCTGTTACCTGCCATTTGAAGCTTGCTTTAAGTGCCACGAGTGCATGAAGAAAGAAGCCCCCGTCGAAAGCAATAAAAGCGATTACTTACCAGCAAAGAAATCATCTGTAACTGACGAACCCACATCATTGACAATTGATTCTAGATCAGAAGGAGCGCAATAGAAATTAATTACATGTAGTACCTTAATTTC